TGGCTGCCCCTCCCCGTCCCCCTAGTTCTGTCTGAGGTTTCTTCCTGTTAAAAGGGAGTCTTTTTCTTCCCATTGCCAAGTGCATGGCTACAGGGAATAGTAAGGTTTGTAACACTGCAAAATTTTGATCCAACTATGTAAACTGCTGTTTTTTTTAGTGATCAAATACATTTTAATGCTAATAGTTACAAAAAGATTTACTACGCTGACAAAATGTAATCAAAATGAAATTTTTTAGCCATAAAGAAAGAGACAGGAGGTTATATAACAAAATGTCCCTATTTATTTGAGCATTAAAATAAATAGGGACTGTTTTTTGCTAACTTTAAAATCAAAATCAGAAGTATTTTTGTTGCTTTTACATCTATCACACTGTTCACTGTTTTAAAACCATGTTGTGCTCTGCAAACTGTGGGGCAGCTTTTGTAGTAATGCATTGACCTGCAGGGGGAGGCTGTTGTTGTTGTTGTTGTGTGTGTGTGTGTGTCTGTGTGTGTGTGTGTGTGTGTGTGTGTGTGTGGAGAGGGGTGTTGCCGTTTCACCAAACACATTACAATACTGTAACACTGTAAAAACCCATATTTAGCCAATGTAGCATGTTAGTCAGCAATATGTCTATTTCCTTAAAGGTCCCCAGGTCCCCAAAAAAAGAACTGTTTGGCAGGGTTCTGGTAATGCAACAAAAAAATACAGGTGCGTGTAAGATAACTGAGGCCCTGCTCAGTACAGTGAGGAGACTGAGTGGTTGGCAGTGAAGCTTGAAGCTGTCATTGAGAGCGAGGTCTAAAACAGACAGCAGTTCACTCTCTATTCATTTAGTATCATTACAGGCCTCCTAAGAGCCCTAATGGGCCTAATAAAAAGACAGAGGTAATAATGAGACTTGAGGGCCCTATATGAGCAGGAGGAGTAGGAGAGGGAGAGCCAGGGGAACAGGAGAACAAGGAAGCCAGAGAGTGTGTGTGAAAGATATTATGGCAGAGGGTGCGCGGGACAGAAACAGAGAAAAAGAAAGGAAAAAGAACGAGCATTAGATAAAGTGAATAGAGGGCGCTGTACGCTTTTGACTTGAATGTAGTCTACGCTTTGTGAGGTGGTCTGTGTGTGTGTGGTTACAAATCAAGGGCCACAATAACATGTCTCCTATCATGTTCTTGAAGCCAAAATGTGTGTTTTTGTTTTATTTTTTAAAAACTTCAATATTTTTAATTGGCTCCTTTGCACACAAAAAAACCTAAACCAAACTAAACTGTGAGGATTAAAAATTCATCAAATTACTTCTTTCCAGCTGTAAAACACAAATATTTAAGCCTTCACAATGAACACGTGTACCACAATACCTAAGGAGTATTACATGTTTCTTCCCAGCTCTCCACATGTGGATGCTGAAGGACTTTCACATTAATGGAGCGATCTGCGCTAATGACTCCTATTACCTCATCGTTAAGGCCATTTGCGCAGTGGGCTATGAGTGTAATGGAGGGAGTGGACTGTTAAACTGTAGGGACCCCTTTTGTCTTAATCGTTACTTGGTGACACTTTGACCCAGTGGCCGCGGGTAAAATGTCTCCAGAGTGTCACGTGCTGCCTTTAATAACTCTGACAGATCTGGATTTAGATCCTCACACCATACAAGATCAATACTTTTTTATTTATATTTATATATATATGTATATATATATAAAAAAAATGTAATGAGAATAAGGCAGTGGAAAAACATTACAGTAAAATTCATTACAGGCCCCATGGGGCTCCATTAAATTGAGGAATTTGACTGTAGTTACCCTATTTGGCTCTTTTATGAAAAATACACCTGAATTAGATTTTTTCCCTTGTTCACAAGATGTTGGATGGAAAAGAGGTCAGGAGTAAAAAACAAAAAACAAAACCCAAAAACTGTGCATTTGGGTCAGGGAAGCTCCTTTTGTTCCTGTTAACGCTTGTTTCTCGATGTAAACTCGAGAGTGGTGAGACAGCATGTCTCAAACCCCAGCAACCCTCCATTGGCTAATCGTTTAATAAGGCTTCTCTTTTCCTAAACATTCATGTAAAGTTCAAAGGGCTGGTTTGGGCTCAGCTCATTTTGGCCCACAGTCCAAACAGATGATGTAAGCTTTCCCCAACAGGTAACTTCCTTCATGTTACTCCACTATGCAATCGATGCTGTTTTCAGATGGTTGCCCACTTGGCTGACTATGGATGAAGTGGCTAGGTGCCCCACTAGTGGAACACAGCATACATTTGAGAATCACTGGTCTACAGCAAATTGACACATAATGTGGAGGAGTTGTCTCCTAATGTCATTCTCCATTCCTGAACTTTTCTTACTGCTAAGGCCTCAATCACACGAGCCTGTCAACGACCATCTGGCAAACAAAGGTCATAAGGTTGTCAGGTAAGGTCCCTAGTTACGGTAGTTGCCAGGGTTGTCAGTAGTTTGCATGGAAGTACTGCAAATACTTGCAGACATCTCTCTGAGCTTTAGTTAAACTTAAAAAAGTACAACGCAAACCGGAAATAAAAAATATTTACCATTAGAGTAAATTTTCCTGCATCAGCCAATGCATTTCAAAAGCGTCAACTTTTACTTTGAAGGCAAACAACAAAATGACATATAAGTGTCATTATTTATTAAACAAAGCCAAAATGCTAAATAAATACGCCCCATGATTCAGTTGTTAGTAGAACCGGCTTTAGTGACAATAACTTGAAGTAACTGTTTTCTGTATGACATCAAATCATTGTAACCTTCTTTACGCCACTGATTTAGCCCATTGAGGTTTGTTTATGTCAAGCTCTCTTAAGGTCCCCTGTATTTCAATGAGATTGAGGTCTGGACTTTGACTGGGCCATTACAACACCTTGATCCTTTTTCCACCCGTGAATAAGCTTTCTCACTGGAGTTCAATTAAAAAACAAACAAACTTTAACTCTTACCAGACTGATGTGCAAGAACATTGGGCTCAAATTGTGGTCATAAATATTTTGTACTACTGAGTTTTGTAACCTTGTAAACCAAAATATCTGAAAATTTTATGTTTGTGCATTCGTAGATGAGAATTTGTTTGTGTGTGTAAAAAAGATTTGTGTTTGTAAAAATATTTACACAAGTTAGTTTTTTTTTGTTAAGGTCTGCTTACAGATACAAAACAAAAAACTATGTGTAAAGCTCTGCGCTCAAGTTTCCTGGCTGTGTGTGAGTTTCAACATACAAGTACGAATTTTGACCCGTTTTTTCTTCCTTTCAGCTGATTGGTCAATGTCATCTCAATCACAAATTTAACAATCCAATCAGAGAACAGATGGGTTTGGCTGTTGGAGTGGCGCTTTCCATATAAAAGTTTCAGATATTTTGGTTTACAAGGTTACAAAACTCAGTTCACAACTACGCATTTGATTTACAAGTACAAAATATTTATGACCACAATTTGAGCCCATACATTCCTGATATCTTTGCTGCTTGGCATTACATTAACACACATCTGAATACCGCAGACCAGCAAACTGCCAAAACCTCAGTTTTCACAGAGGTGCTCACCCTCGCTGATGATCAATTAATTAACTTGATTAGTAGCAGCTTGCTGCCACTTATCTTTCTATTTCCTACAGAAGCAGTAAGGATGTACTTTGTTTACACACTTCTACATCTTTTAGTTTTTGTCAAATAAATAATGACACAGGTTACATGTCATGTGCATTTCCTTTGAGGCTTTATTTACTTAATTTTAAACAGATAATTTTTATTATGTCCTGATATGTAAAGCCACAAAATTAAAAGAGGATGTACTTTCTTTTTCCCATAACCGTATTTGCCATCGTCCTATAACTACTCTGGGCCACTGCTCAGCAAACGATTCATAGTCTTGCTTTAAGTGTGGACGATGAGTCAGTAAATGGGACAAATAGGACAGCACTGTGCCAGCCCAAAAGGAGACAGAGAGAAAAAAACTCCATTGTTTTGGCAAAAAATCATTTTTTATTTACTCTGAATAAATTCATTTTTGTTTTTACGACTAATTAATTGTGTTTAAGCAAGCATGAGACCTTTTTTCGTTCCTTACTCTGACGTAAGGATTTGCTTTTTTTTGTTATCACCTTGAAATAAATGCACAACAAAAGACAACTGAAGATCAAATTTGTGTCCTGACTGCTGCCATTTATTTTAATCAATTAGGAACCCCTTTAAGAAATGCATCAGTGAAGAATATTACTAGCTTTAATTGAATAATAATTGAATTGACAACACGTGTGTCTTTTACATGCTTTATTTAACCAGATCAATGGCTTGCATATACTTTGAAACCAGCCAGTGCTCCTTATGAACACGCGGAGGTCCAAAGTGTCTCCTTCAGCCGATAAAGATGAGAAGAACGGAAGATCTAAGAACATTTGCATAGCAAGTCTTATTTAAGAATTCATCAACAAGGAGAAGGGAAATCCATCAGTATTTCCCTAAATAAATCAATTTCACCACAGGCCCTGTGTAGTCTCCTTAAGTAAGTAAGAGGATTGCTTTCTTTAAGTCTGGGATTGAAATGGAATACATTGACATAGGGGCGGGTCCCCCCCACAGACTCTCCCACCCCACTCCACCCCACCCCAGTCAAATCAAAGGTTTCAGCTGCTCTTTATTGATTAGATTTTAGAATATGGGACTAGCTTCTCCCTTAGGTGCAGATGAGTAGCAGATGTTAATTATCCTGTGTGTGTGCATGCGTATGAACGGGAGGGGGTGGCGGGTTATGTACAGCAGTCGGTGAAGTACTCCAGTAATCTCACACTGTAACATTTGAGCAAATCAAAGAGCAAATGGGAGCAGTTTCTCCTCCGCTTTACTAACTGCACAAGACCACACGTGAACCTTTTTTTTTTTTTTTTTAGCAACTTAATAGATGGCCTGTATAAAAAGCACCTATGTCTGAAATTTCACATTAAGACAAGTGTTTGGAAAGCCAGAGCCCTGATGACAGGTTCAGTCAAGAGCAGTCACATGTTTCTACCTGGGATATGTTTGGCCCAGCCAATGATGACCACCAGCTCGCGGTCAGCCAAGTCACAAAGCGTTGTCAGAGCCTTGATGTCTCCGTCCGGCATGGTGGGGTCAGGCATGGCATAGATCTTCTCTGGCTCCACCACCAGCAAATGAGAGACGATCTTTGTCACTAAGAGGGGGAAGAGACAGAGAGAGAGAGAAGGACGGAGGGCGTGAAGGAATATAAATGTACTGTGGTGTGCGACAGTTTTAGGCAACAGTGTTTGCCTAAAATATGATCATATTGTGCCACATCAATCTCATCTTTGGATGTAGATAACAATGCTCTCGCCATATTCCTCAAGGGGATTCATTTCACAGCTTTATGTCCCATCATATTAACTAATAAAGTTAATGCTTTTTGTAATGCTCAGGTAATACACACATTGTTACTGAGTGAGATTTTAAATGAAAAAAAGAAAAAAGCAACTCACGTGGTTTTTTGGCTGGAGGGGGGAGGGTGAGGCCGAGGTAGGCGCCGTTTTCGGCATCCAACCGCCGCTTGTACTTCTGACGCCCCCCTCTCACTCGATCCAGACGCACACCTGCAAAGAAAAATAATTAAAAATATCACGTATGCATAAGATAAACCAAAGCCACTCTGATGAATCCACAAAACGTAATGATTACGTAGCAAAATAAAATAAAAGGGAACTTTTCACTTGTTATGTTTGGAAGTAGGCGTTGCTGCTGACTTTCTCACTTTCTTTTTATATGCTTAATTTTTGAAAGTTACATTCAGTTATAACGACCTATTTTATGGCATCGTATTTGCTACAGCTTATTATAAAACTGTAGCCTATTTATTGGGGGGGAAACTTGACCTATTTTGCTGTGTCATCAGACTCTCACGAGCATTTCAGGGTTTTTAATTTTCTACCCTGTATATGACAAATACTATATAACCATTCTTCATATAATATACAGTACAAAAATTAGGATAACAGCATTTTTCTGTCATTTATCTACATAAACAGTTACATTCCTTTATTTTTAACCTTTCAACCATCAAGCAGGACTTCTGAGTGGAAGTTTAAGCATTCACATGCAGGATTATCTTCAAAGCCATCACAGAGGATGCGGGCTGGATGCACCTTGTCTCCTGAATTGATACGTTTGCATTAAAAGTTGTTTGAGCACTGAGGGAGAGCAAACAGATTTTACATGGTCAAGTGGAATTAAGTCGTGTGAGATTTCCCAGTGACTCATATAAATTCCTTTGATTCCCCTGGAAACAAAAGAATCCGATTAGGATGGTCTTTCAATTTCCTGACACCGACTATCCACTAACCTAATTACCCACCGTGCCCAGAGGGAGCTCATTCTTCCCAGCAAACACAGTGAGATCATTTTATGCCTGGCAGATTGAAGCTAAATCGAGAGCCCCTCTCCTAACACAGCTTTCCATTTGTACGCCTTAAAGTAATCAATAAGGCTTGCAAATAGACTTCTTGTTCTTTGAACACATGTGGATGCGGTTTTAATTAGTCAGTTAGGCAGGCAGGAGCTGGGTTTGCGATAGATGGAGCTTTAGTGGTTGTTTTTAGCATTACTCTTGGTTAAGTTAAATTTAAAATGATAAATTGGGCTTCAGGAAACAGTGTGCATGTACTCCAGATATTAAATCAGTTCAGGAGCCTCTCTCTCTCTATTTAATGGTACACAGAGGCCTAATAAAGGGTTATGCAGTTAGTTAAGCCTTTCACAATAATAAGCTTGTTTAATGCATAAATATATTAAGAAGGTACCAAAACCGAATTCATGCAGCATGTTCTTGTAAGGCTAACTGACAGTGAATTGTTGCTGCTTTTGCCCCTAACATTATCAAGACACACACACACTGACACACACACACACACCAGTTTCCCTGCCGTGGGCTGCTAGGTCATGTAGCTACAACAAGCGACAAGTGACCAAACAGCCAGAGTTAGAATTCCAAGATCCGCGGGGGCTGTTTGAACTCGAACATCCAACTGGCCCATAATTAATAGACGCTGACAAGAATTAAGAGCTCAGCGCTAACCAGTTTCAGTTTACAGCTTAGCGGCGCTCCAAACAGCAGAGACCCGAGGCAGGAGGGCAGGGACAACGACAAGGGAAAAAAACAAGGGTTAGATAAGGCTGAAGAGTGGGAGGGTTGGAAAATCAAACAGAACAATCTGCTGTGCTTGGATGAATATATCTGTTTTCTGATGGTTTCTTCTTTCTCAATTTGTACATCCTCTCTCTGTCGGCCCTGCCTGTCCCAATGACCACCTGATCTCACCAGTGCGGGATTATCTCCTCCCCATGTGATATGGAACAGTACTGAGAATATGACCACAACAAGACAGCTGAATGAGGCCCCTGGAAGAGGGCCGGAGAGGGTGCGAGGGGGGCAGTGTGTGTCATCGTCAGCACCGCATTCCTAACCTCAGGCCCAAAACCACATCGGCCTCCGCGCTTCAAGACAATGCGGGTCCAGACGAGAGCCTCTGACATGGGTTGGGGGCGGCGGGGGCCAGGCGGGTCCACAGATCATCTTAAAGGCATCCAGATCCTTTTTTATGGTTGCTGGCCTTTCATAAAGTGTGACAGGCAAAGTATGGATGCATGGGTGAGGTTATGGGGTAAAAGAAATGTGTGTGCTGGATAATATGAATTCACATACTACAGCACGCTCATAACTTTGTGCTGACTGCGAGAAAGACGGGCTGAGATACTTGGCTGAAAGTCTATTCTTGCTATGTGAGTGTGTTTGTGTGCGTGCACATGTGTGTGGCAAGACGATGAGGCATATTTACATTGGAGCAATCTTTACAGCCACCTGATCTGTTTTGCTTTCACATACACAACATTTATTGACTTGTTAAAACGTTAAGGCAAATTTCTTATTAAAGTGACAGTGTTTCGCTTCATGCGCTGGCCGCGGGTGCGCCGGGTGTGTCCTGCGGATTATTTTGCTATGCGTTTATTATTTGCACATTAAATCGACAGATATCTATTTCACCATAGCAGCTGCCAAAATATTCATTTTATGCCCACAATGAAAAAAATGACAAAAAAACGGCCCTTAAGAATACATAATAACATTTTTAAAGTCCACCTTAAAACACAAACATCAAAATGAAATCTGAGTTAAGTATGTGATTAAATTTTCGGCCTAAAGCCCCCACCCAAATTGTCTAAATCCACATTCTTCGCAATGTGGTCAGAAACATCGGTCTATATGCTGAAAAACACCCACATCAGCAGTGTCTTCAATGTAAAACTGAAGCCAGAAAAACAAAAATACACAAAGGAAGACAGAAGGTTGAGCAAAAACAAAAAAAAGTGTCCAAAAAAAACATTCATGATATAAATGAGATTCATTCTTCTGGTACAAAAAGATGCTCTACAGAGCAGCTGTCATCACTGAAAGGTGCATGTGTCTCATATCGAGACTGTGTGTTACTATGTGAACATGTGCTCGTGTGTACATGCGTGTTTAAGCTTCTCACTCTCAACTATTTTCAGCCTTTCACCTGTCAGAGGCGCTTCTTTCGAGAGAATGTGTCAGAATTGACTGGCTGGCTAACGCTGCCAAAGGGAGATTAGGAGCTCCCTATTTTAGCTGGGAAAAATCAGAGGGATGCGGCGTGCAGCCCCCTCCGACGCAGCCTGCTCACCCTTTGCAAAGCGCAGCCGCTCTGCCCTTCCAGGGCTGCCTCTCAACATCTGATCTGGAAAGTCAGAAAGAGCTACAGTAAAGGCTGTCATCGGGTTTTTTTCTTAAGTCTGGGTGGGCTGAAAATAAGAAGGGAAAGGCGAAGAAAAGACGACACAAAAAGTTGAAGGGAACTGGATTGGGTTGGGTATTAACATGGCGCACCATCTGCTGCAACCCCCTCCCGGTGGCCTGGCAATGCTGGCACTGCTTAACCGTAACTGCCATGGCACTTGTATCACTCTTTATCATGTTTTACACTTACATAAATCTGAGCCAGCGTGTCCACAAAGGGCTATTATTTTGTCTCGCAGTGCCGCCCTAACCACAGATGCAGCTCTAATAAAAAACATCTGCAGAGCTCGAGAAGGGCCGAGATCATTCATGAAGTTGAAGCTGGTGTAGTGGACAAAATAAAATGTTTTTAAAAAGCTAGAACGGTGTCAGTGACAAGCATGGGACCTCAAGGAGCGATTCTGAGCCCCTTGTCAGGGGTGATATACATTTTAACATGTGTGTCGGGAAGCGAGTACATGTATAGAAGGGTTGTTATGAGGTCAGCGCTTCGCTAAATCCTTTTCTTCGGAGGAACACGTGTTAGCCTCCGTGTCTGATCTATCACCTGCCAGACAGTGAGGACAGGCCAGTGCAGAGCCTCTGGGTGGGCGCTGACTTTCAGCTGCATTCTGCCAGCTACTCTGACACCCTAAAAAGCAAACAAGCCCCCACACATGTGCTGTTAGATAGACAAGTTTACGGTACAAGAAAAAACAAGTGGCAAGAAGGGAGGGGTCCTTCTCACTTATAGTTTAAGTACTTCGAATGGTGCAGACCAACACATGCTAAAAATTCTGGTTCTGAAGACGCCCACAGAGTATAGACTTTGGGTATATCTTTATTATGGTGATGTAATCTTAGCATATAGATTGGTTTCTGATTTAAGCCTATTGATTTGGAAGGGACCTGACAGTCTGTGATATTGGATATGGCTTTACTAATCTTTTGTGTATGTGGCCGGAGGAAAATAAGGCTGTAACATTACCCTGGTAGCCACGTTCGCTCAGGAAAGACTGCTGATCCCTATCTGTGGTTAGGAGAGGGCGAGACAGCGGTGTAGGTTGCCAAAATATTCTGGCAGCTTGTGTTCATCCACCACATTACAGCGATGTCAGAAAATCCCAGCATGCAAAGAATAAACCACAGAAACACCGAGCTAACATCACTGAACTAGAACCCACCAGTAGTGACTAAAAGACCAAACTGTAAGCGCCTTTTATGCTCAGACCTGCTTCTTCCAGGACAGACACTCAGTGGGTATAAGGCGATATGCTTCTGTTCCAGTGGGACTTGGTTTTTGAACACGATAATTTGTTAACATGATGATCGGACACCTGTTCAAGGACCAACATAGATACCCATGCTTACTGGCACAAAAAGAAAAAAAGAATCCATCTCTCTTCTTCAGCAGGATGTGACTCAAAGCGGAAATTGAAAAATGCACACGCGGTAGATTCTTGCATCATTTAACACCGTACAGTAATGCTATGGGATATTAGCGCCGCTATTAGCTGGGGGCACTGACTCCTGGCAGTTGTGACTGACACCATACCTTCCGTGAGTTGTAATTACGTGAAAGTTTTTCCACTGACCTGTGACCTTTCATCAGTCTCAGCTGTACATTTGAGGGGTCAGTGAATGAGGCTTCCTCGAACAGCTGCCCTTCGCTGCCGTCCACCCGGCTCATCCAGGTGCTCTGCTTTGACAAAGCAGTAAAGCCGAACCAGGAGAGAGGCCTTTCATCTATATTATTTATTCGATTTTCTTGGAAAAATAATAATCTGTTACATCTTAAACAGACAGCTTAGCTCAACATACCCTTAAGCATAATCCATAAATTCCCTTTGCATTATGTTGGCACTGGCCACAGCTAGAATACCTGATTTATTTAGACCCCTATCACACCTGAAGCCACCAAACCAAGTTCGAAGAAGTAAAGTCAGCTGATTAGTGGCAGGTGGCGCACAGCAGAAGGGTTTTCCCCACCCACTAATGGGGCTCAAAATCCCTGGCAGCTACCCTTTAAAAGTCAGGATGGCACGACTGGCACGAGGAAGAGAAATATTGGAAACTTCTAGAGTAACTCAGCACAATATATAACTCTCACAGCACCCCGAGGGAGGCGTTTTTTAGGAAGCCACTGCCAACGTGAGGGAAATTTGCAATGGGAACAAATGAATAACTTATGAAACTTACAATATCCAGTTTATGTATTTATCAATATTTACCTGTTAATAGCTGAAGATTATAATAGTTAAAATAGAAACGTATCTGGAAACATTTTATTAATTAAAAAGTTAAAATGGTTTCATTTCAAAGGAAAGAAGTAAAAAAAACACAAGCCTGCTTAATATTGACAAGGATTGCTACGAAAAATGAAATTTGCTCAAATGTGTAAACCTTCAACATAAAACCATTTTTCTGTTTGGACACCACAATCATGAGTTTACACCTAAAAAATCTGTTTTTAAGCTGGAAAAGCTTTCAGTTCATCCACATCAGAGAGTCAGTCAGCTATTTTTTTATGTCAAAGATCAAGGTTTACTGCGATCTCACAAAACATATTTGGGCCAAACTGATTAGGTCTGGCTTGGATATGGATATAAAACACAAGTTAACTGGTTTCTGGTTTCTCTGTAATTATTGTATTTAGGTCTGGACTGTGGAGGCATCACTACAATTGTGGGTGTCTTCAAAATATCCCTTCAGTAGACGCTCAAACATTCGTCTTTGTTGGTTTAAAAGATTTGCGTTTCAAATCTGAGTCTGGATAATTGTGAGGATAATAGAAACCTTCTTTATTAAGCGAATACTTTAACACTACGCTTCCTTATTCTTTTCAGTGTATCCATCTCCTGTTTGTGGAATGTGCTGTTGTCTTTAAGTCCTCTGGATTCATTCCACGCTGCATTAGTTATTATTAATCTCTGGCTTTCTTCCACAGTGTATCTTTTGTCCTGTCTCCCTCCCCTTAACTCAAACCAGTTGCAGCGGAGTCCGCAGGTTTCTAACCATTGAAAGGGAGTTTTTCCTCCCTGTCACCGACTGCTTGCTCATAGGGAGACGTCTGATTGTTGGGATTTTATCTGTATTATTGTAGGATCTTTATTTTACGGTAAAGCGTCTTGAGGTGACAGTTGTTGTGATTTGGTGCTATGTAAATAAAATAGAATAGAACTGAATTGAATCTATGAAATAATCCTTGCTAGTGTTTCCTAGATTTTACCCACAATGTCACTCTGCTGCTTGCAGTTCAGAGTCTGCATTTGTGCCTTCTGTTATTAGTCCTCCGTGTTTGAACCTGTTGATGATATAACTAACCTTGCAGGATAATAGAGTGTTAAACACCATTTAAGTTAACATTTTAAGAAATTACACAATGTAATTGTTCCTTGTCGGTGACCAGCCCTTGGTCACTTGTTGCAGGGTGATCTCATAGCATAAAGTGAGGCTAGCCGCTGTCCCCTCCCCCCTACTGGTTCACTGATCAAAGTCCCCCTTAAATCTGTAAGAGTCCACGCCACTGCAGTATGCCATGATTAAGTGTCCTTTTTACTCTTAATTGAACACCATCACTTTTAGAAAATCGCCTACTGTGCCACATATTGCGGTGGCTGTGACGCTGCGCCTCGCACACACACTGGCCGGCTTAGCCTGGCTCTCCGCTGACAATACCCCACAGTTTTTCCTTTAAGCATGCACTAATAGTTTCAGCTTTATTTCTGAAGCAAATGTGTTGCTATTTTTTTTTTCTTCTGGCCAAGAGTCAAAGGCTCAGTGTGAGATATTTTGGCCAGGATTAAGACATAAAAAATGGCTGCATGTATAAATAGTAGCGTTATGCCAAACAGAACGGACGGCCCCTCTGTCTGAGAGGAACAAACGCAGCTACGTCACAGTGAAGCTGGGTCAGTGAAAGTGAACTAAAAGAGAGACACGCAGTCTTGTGTTACTGGGACAAATTGCAGTCAACTTGTGCAGGCTGCTATTACCAGATGTGTACAAAACTATATGGCCATGGTTTTATTTTTAGGAAACAGTTGTTTTTCTCTATGTGGAGCTTATAAATAAATTTATAAATCGTATGTTTCTTTAATTTAGGATTCAGTGTGGACTATGAAACACATACACACACATTAATGCTATCAGAGCACATATTACGTCCTAATAAAATGTACGATGCAGTCATTCCTCTAATCAATTACACTTAATCTTAATGTTGGTAGAAATAAAGAAATCCTAATGTGTGAATGAAATATTTTAAAAATTCCTTTGCTTCTTTTTCTCTAAATCTTTATTTTCTTATATCTTTTATGCCATCAACACCTATGGAAAGCCTACACTTCTGCCTTATTTCAGCACATTATTCAATTAATTTACTGTTACTGTCAGTGTGCATTTATTGTCCTATACAGCGTTCGTACCACAGTTGCTCAAAAATTATTCTTTGTTTCAGTATAAGACAAAGAAATGTAATTAAAATAGGCTGTATTTCAGCAATTTGAGGTTTTGTTTTTTCTCATGGACATCTGTCCAGAAATGTTCACTGAAGTCCAAGCTCAGCACAAGCCCTCTGCGTATAAATAGCATGATTTAGACTTTTCATAGACTTTGCATTGGTGTAGGATAGTTCTTCTCGCTCTGCAAACTGAAAAGATAAAAAAAATGCTCTTCCCGTGGAAAGAAAAAAGAAAAAAAGAAAATCTATCGGCTAGATTTTCCCTCTGTACTCCCAGAGGACTCACACTGGAGGAAAAACAACACGTGCAGGAAGTGAGGTGGGATATTCGGAAAGCATTTAGTGGATCAATACGGCAGGCAAGAGAGGGGAAGGGAGACAGACAGACAGACAGAGTGGGAGATGGAGAGAGAGACACCCAGAGCCCAGGGGAGAGGGAAGTCTTGGGGGAACAGCCTGTGCTTTTTAAGAGTACTGTTACACATCTCAGTCGGTCTTGGTAAGAATATCCAGCTCAGCAGCTTTTTCCACCCGGCTGAGTTAAACACTCAGAGGCTCGGCAGTGTGAGGAGAAGTAAGTAAGGCTTGTGGGTGATGTCACCGGTGTCTCCCTGAGGCCACAGCTGGCTTTAATATCACTGACCATCCTCTAGACCGGAGTGACCATCACAGATCCACAACCATTGAAAAACAGACAGCTTACTCTAACATATAGGCAAACCTCCTGATTTCAGCTTGATCATAAAATCTTTACACCATCTCATATATTTTAAAATATAGAATCACAAGACAATTTGGTGCCATAGAGGAGAGTCTAAAGTTTATATACTAATAAACAGAGAAAGCTGCCTAAGAAGCATATGATCTTTAGGATTTTGATGTGACAGTTAATTAATCTAGACAGATGCTATTAGCACCAAGGTGTCAATAGCCAACAATGCTATTTGCACCAGTGGGTGGAAAAGTTAATGTGGCTATTTACACCAGGGAGTATATAGCATGGCATATACGGCATCACAGAGACAAGCACCGGGGTGTCCGTAGCCAAAAGTGTTACTTGAACCCAAGCACTCACTGCCAGAAAGGCGTTCTAACACCTCAACTATAACCTTTTCCTGCACATAAAGAGCTAGTTTTGTTACCCAAGCTTAGCCACAGTGTGACTGAAATTAAGTCTAAAAATTACATGTGTGTGGTTTTATAAGGGACACAGACTCCAGACAAAAGTCTTTAAAGCATTCATCCACCGCAGCCCTCGTCACTCTGCGAACTGTGAACTCAACTGCTTCACGCTGCTTCCTATGTGATATACAACCATGGATACAACAGTACTTAGATTTTTTCGTAGTGCTGAGGAGCAGCACTGAACAGAGACCCCAAATAATGCAGCTTTGACAAGGGGCAGAGTAAAAATAAAGGGATAAAGCAAACACACACTCACATATATATATGTTGTGTGAGCTTGTGTGAAAAACCAGTACTCACCCTCTTTTAGCATGCCAACTTTAAGACATTTCATAAAGCGGCAGGCCTGGCAAGACTTTCGTCTCCTTTTGGTGATCTCACACTCATTGGTAGCCGGACAGCTGTACTCGATATTCCCTGGAAAAGGATTGGAAAAAAAGGACTCCATTATTCTGTGTGCTTAAAAGATATACATCAGCAATTAGGAATAATTTGTTTTGGAATTATTGCGCTGGCAGGAAGATCAAATCACACCAGGCGCGGAGTGAGAACACTGCAAAATACACAACACGTGTGTGCACATGTGTGCCTGTGAACGCACACACACCTGTCCCAAGGTGACCCCGTGTGACACTCCTGAAGGAGAGGAGGGTTTAGTGGCATTTTGATGGGGCATGTAAAAAGCACCTACCCGCCCCGCAGTCACACTCAAATTTTGATTCACAGATAAATTAGCTTCATTAATGCAGAGCGTCCTCTCTGCAACGCTCACCACGACCCTTTCCAGCCCATCCTCCTTCACCTAAAGGATGATGGGAAAACTGCCCTCCCTCAACAGCACGGGGCTAAGAGACGGACGCACAGCTGAGCACTCTGCATAATGTTCTCCAGCAAAGACCAGGAGCTGCTGCTAGACTGGACAATCTAAGACTGCGATATCATGTAGCAAAGCTCGATGTATTATTCAAGTCGTCTTGACGGTTGTTGGCTCACTATGGAAATATTTCCTATGCAATTTAATCACTCAGATCCAAAAACAGCCAGAAAATGCAGACATATTGAATCTGCTGGAATTTAACCGCTGCCCGTCTTTCTCACCTGATTCCGGTTAAGAGTTTTTTTTATTTATTTTTTCCCCAAATCATTACGCACACACTTCAAAAGTTGACACGACACCAAGAATCCAGTGACAAATCCTCTTTCCCAAGTATCCGTAACCCCATGATTGACTGTTTGAACAATGTCCCGTAAGTCCAGAGATGTATTAATGGTACCTAAAAACAGCAAACCAGGTGTTGTCTGTTGCAGGTCTGCCAGAGGAGCGAGCACACACACACACACACACACACACACACACACACACACACACACACACACACACACACACACACACACACACAACCCCCTGTTGGTCAAGGAGAAGGTGCCAACATTTGTCAGGATCCCTGGCATCGAAAGTGCCAGCAGGGTCACACGCACAGTTAGGGGCCGAGGGCACCACGCCAGCATGTTGGCAGAGGCTGCTGCTGGATTCGGGGTAGGTAAAGTCTGTTAAACTGAGAGGCATTAGCAGAGGGGAAATAAAGTACACTGCAGCGCTCGTATGTAGAGATGCACGCCATGTACCTTACTGCATACTACACTGCAAACTAACTGCATGCAGCAAGAGCGTTATAATATTTGCAGTATTAATATATAGTACTTTAGTTTTATTCTCAGTGCGAATACTAGAGGGTAAATTCTTATGGTAAAAATTACATAATCTAATGAGTACACTTAATACTTTTTAATGCACAGTAATGTCCCACAATTCACACTAGAGACAATTAAGAATAAATGTGTGTGTGTATATATATATATATAAATATATATATATATATATATGTTATATATGATGCATGTTGTATACATAAAGAAAATCTAATTCATGTTAAATCACATAACCACATTTTGCACAAGCACAAAATGATGAAAATGATGTAATATGTTGAAAGGCATTAATAAATCTGTGAGTATAAAATTCCGGTTTTACAAAATGAAACACAATAGTTTTCATTTTTTTCATCTTTCTTCAGCTGCCTCCTTGACGTCTGCTGTTTGTTCTATTGTTGTAGAGCACCGAGCAATATGTTATTTTTCACTAACTGAAGGCAGTGATTCTGAGCTTTGCCTTAACAAGCAGACAACATTACAGTTTGCTGCATGCCTGAAATGTTGAACTTATTCTCTGTACTACATACATGCAATATTTCATGACCTTCTGAGGTTGATGAACTTGCTTGGATATCAAATTTTCTTCCTTCAAAATCAAACAGTAATCCAAAAATAACAGGATAGGTCAAATATGACCTGCATGTGTGTGTTTTTTGTTGGGTGTGGGTGGGTGAGACGAGGGTCCACAATAGACTTAAATTGCCTACCTCTAAAAGCTCACTGTCGGCAACCCTCTTAGTTAATCAGGTCTTGTGTCCACCTTTATTTCTCAAAGGACATTTCAACCACTCTAATAACCTTCCTTAACCTCTCTTATTTTCCCTCTAAATTTTGATATATTATTATGCTATGCTATTATCCACGTGCATCTCCACTCAAGTTGGACCTCTTCCTGTCCTCCTCCTTTACCGAGGCCGGGACCCCCTTCCTGATTACCATTCCATTAAAGCAGCTTCTCCTCTCTGTGAATGACCACCTACCCCATCCCTCGTCCCACCGCCTTTATTTAGAGGACTCTTCAGCGTCTCTGTCTCGCTGTTCCCTTCCTCTGTTATTGCCACCACAACACGTGCCTCTGCTTCTAATTGGACCCCATCTCCTTCCCCTTGGGTGAGGGCTTGAGGGGCCTGGGGGCAAAAGGAACGGATCCACACCTCCCACCCTCCTTTCTTGACTTTCTCCCAATGAAATGCCTGGTTCTTAATTACAGTCACCCAACACTGATTGTTATTGACTGAAACTCCCGTGGCTCAGGACGAATGACGGACAGATTAAGCTCATTACAGGCCTGTCCTCCAAGAAGGAGAGTGAAAAGAAGAAGAAGAAGAAGACTACAGTGACGAGGAAGAAGATGAGAAGGCGAGAGAGAGGTCTCGGCAAGACAATGCAAAGTCACACATCAGCATTACTGGGGCACGAGCAGCCTTTTAACTACCAATGATTGATCATAAACAGGCATGCAGGATTTGGACAGAAGGCCAAAAACATTCAGTAAAACCCAACAAAGTGTAGCATGCGGACTGAACAACAGATATTGTGCTGATGACTTGAAAGAAAGTAGGGGTTTCCTACATTTTCTGATGCTCCCGATCCAAAGATGCTTTAGCCTCTTGTACATGAAAAGTGAAAATTCTCCTAAGATAAAACAATCCAGCCATTTTCATATAGGCTAATTAAGCCAGGAAAGGCCTTCCTAAAAATGGGCAGCCAAAAAAATGTAAATAAATAATAAGTTTTGGAAAATATGTCTTTGCTGTCTCTATTTTTTGTGTGTGTTTTTCTTTTAGAAATGTCTGATAATTAATAATGAGAAATAGGATATTTTAGAAAATTTTAGAAAAAAAACCTCGCTGCCAAAGAAAAATAAAAATTATATATATCAGGGTGAGGCTTGGTATATTTGTCATCATCACATTAAGAGTTATTAGAAAAAGTCAGAATTTTGTAAACATGTGATGTAATTAGAGAGAGTGCCAAAGAGTTTCACTCTTAAGACCAAGTGAGGTAACCAGCTCTCACATCAGTCCCACGTTTTCCATCTTTATTCTGACAGTAATGCGCTGTTTTGGATTTTAACAAAAGCCAATAAAATAAAAGGAAAAAACAGTGCCGAAAGATGCTTCTTCTGTTTCTTCGTGCTTCAGTAATTGAGAGGGATTTAGGCAGAATACTTTTCAAATTTGCCTGACTTAATGTGCCCTCACTCTGACTCCATGTATCCAGACACAAATGCTGCAAATCAAATCAAAAAAAAAAAAAGTGGCGCATTATCTCTGTCCAAAAGATTACTCTGGAACGGATCCCACACATGGCAGATTCGGTGCCAGATGTATGATTCGCATGCAAAGACATCAAAAATCACAAACTAGAGCAGATTTGCGGTCTGGGCCTAATGCCTGCGGTAGACACCACATCGTATTAGCCCCATGAAAGCACTGAGGAACCTGTGACACGCACGACCACGTATTCAAGTGAACGTAAAGTATTTAAAATCATTAAAAAGTAGCACTTCTCTATTGTGACAAGAGTGAAAATACACCTTGCTTAAAAGTACTGGTGGAAAGTCAGGAATCATTGTTTTTTTATGGCCACTTTAAGGGAAAAAAAGATAACAATGTAACATTTTTATCTGGCGCTGTTCACCTGTCGCTGTTTTGATGTCTGTGAGTTGGTAACACCTATCGACAAGTGGTTTTCTTTTTTGCTACTTATTTTGAAAATCCAAAAAACAGAGGCCGTCAATATCGATTGATCTGATAATCCACAGAAAAAAACCAATAAAAAATAAAATGAAAACTGTAAAATTTTTAATGTGTGTGGGTTCTTCATTTCTCTTCTATCGATCAGTTCTCCACATCCTCTGATTTATCTGGTTAGCTGTGGTGTTGTGAATGAATATTATTGTGTCTAATGTAGTTAAAATAAACCAGTACTTAAACAGCTACAAACAAAAAATGCAAAAATGCAGTGCATGGTCTAAGCAGTAAATGGGAGCACCACAGAGCATTTTTCTAAGTATTCACAAGTTATAGTTAATCCAAAAAGCAGACATTTTTACTCATATTTTCTATTGCTGCGGTTGTGCTTTTACTTGTCTCCAATTGTAACAAAAATACAAAGAACCCATTACCTAAAAGACAGTTTTACTGACAGCTCAGGTGAGTCAGTGAAATGTGAAAGGAAAAGTGGGAAAGGGGGAAAATACCTTGTATCGTTCTTTTGAAAAAGGCTTTGCAGGCCTCACAGGAGGCCACTCCGTAGTGGTACCCCGAGGCAGTGTCGCCACACACCAGGCACAGCCTCTTGGGAATTCCATTGAGCATGTACTCGCACTTGATTGGCGAGTCATCGGCCATGCCGCCGGAGCATTCCTCGTAGCGGCGTAAGCAGGCGCTGCCGCCTCCCAGCATGCCTGGGTTGAACATTGGGGGGGAGTCCAGGGTGTGTGACCGTCCACTGCCAACGTTAACGTAGCCGCCGCTGGCGTCAGAGTTGCCACTGGGGCTGTGGTGACTGCCAGTGTCTATGAGCGAGGAGGAAGGACTGGAAGGCTCAGTTTTGACATAAGAACCACAGCTCGAGGATAGGTGCCGGTCCTCGGAGGGCATTCTGGTTAATAACCTGGAGAAACACAAACAGAGTCGGAATGTCAGTCAGTTTTGAAACTGAATTTACAGGGAATGCAATGGTTTTCCAAATTTTTGAAAAGAAATGAATGTTTAATTCAGTTCAACTGAATTTTTATAATGTCACCGCAAAATGCTTTATCCTGTCCAGTAAAGACCCCACAGTATAAGAGCTAAAAACCCAACAATCAGACAACCCCCCTATGAGAAGGCAATTTGCGACAGTGGGAAGGAAAAACTCCCTTTTAAGTGGGAGAAACCTCGAGGAGAAACAAGGTTAGAAGGGCAGCCATCTGCTTTGACTGACTGTGTGTGAGGAAAAAGAGAAAAGAAAAGGAGAGCATTGGGTGATATGGTGGAGTTCAAACCACTTGTTTTAAAGCACATATATAAGTAGGCAGAAGGACACCATGGTTTGTGTTGTTTTCAACTTTTGTTTCCACGAGTTGTTTGGTTGGATTTAGGAAAAAAATTGTGATTTGGATTTGGAAAAAAACAAAACAAAACACAAAAACTGTCATATTGGCATAGAAACCACATCAGGGGACACTGAGCTTTGGCATAAAAATAATATTTTATTACACAAACTAATAACATAAAAGTAACATATCTCAGTATTAATAATTAACAAACTTTTTAAAAATATTAACCGTTTTACCGCATTTTCTTCACACATTTTTAAAACTTTTTCTTTAAATAAAAAGAACGCAATGGCTCTCAAAAAAAAGAGGACCAAACAACAGAGCACAACAGAGCACAAAAGCTTCGCCGTGACTGTACCGAGTCTTGCCTGCTACCATCATCCGCCACTCATTCTGCGAGAAATTCATCAGCCCGTTCACCTGAGTTTGATAGATTGCCTTACACACACAACCATTAATGCGCCGGAATGCCAAGTGATATAGTGCAGTAGCTCATTCCTCTCAGGCAAAATGGTAACTAACGACCATGTCAACAGATGCCCCATACATCTTGCAAACAATGCCCACAATTGGTCGGCTGCCAGAAGTAAATGAATGAATGAAACTTCAGAAGGCTGTTAATGGACAAAGAGAGGTGTTACACTCAGCATATGGAGGATTGTGGGTAATAGATGACCCAATCAATAGTCCCAGTTATTTTGCCAGTGGAGGTGCTGGGTTACAGCTGGCAGAGGAAGTGCCTTATTCCAAGAATTTCATCATAAAGATTACAAAGGTAGGATTAAAGAAAAAAAAAAATCCTCATAATGCAGGGTAGAAGCTAAAGAGAGTATTCTTTATTTGCCTTGTTAAGCTTTATAAGAAATTATACACTTTGCTTAACGGTGATGTTATAACTCCATAAGTATGCTTGTTTACTTAACGATTACTGCTACTGGTGGGTAGTCATTTCTCTTTGAGGCTGCAAAGCCAGTGTATGTTGCGCTCCTTGCTGTAATTCAATAATATTCTCTCAAACGAAGCATGAAATGAGGCCCGGGTTGGTCTTAGAACTGCTGGCTCTGTCTGTCACAGTTGGTGTTGATCTTACAGAACTTCAGCCCTTAAATTCTTATGAGTCATAAATATGGGGTGAGAGTGGCGGAAAGGCGTGATGGGAATGTCTGAAACTAATAGCAAGCTAATGCTGCTTTACAGTCTGAACTTTTTGGCTTTTTTTACTGCCAGGAGCTGTCTCCATTTTTTTTTTTTTAAATATGGTGTTGTGTTTCCGAATGCATTTTCCTTCTTTTGCCTCCTTTGCACAAGTGTTTATTTAAAGCCAAGAAACCTCTTTTTTTTTCTTTTTTAACTGCAAACGAGTAGTGAGAAGAAGAGAAAAAGAGGAGGAGATAGCCTCTACCCCTGGGCCCAGATCAGATCTATTGATCCTCGGCTTCCTTCCTGTTCCAGATGAGGCATGAAAAAATAAACCCTCCTCTTACAGGCCCCAGACATTCCTTATGCATTTTTAATCAGTCGAGACTGTTAACATAGTGCGAGATTGAGAGATACAGCATTGTGTTAGCCTTCATTCTAAGGATATTGTGGCTTATAAAAGACTCAGATGACTCATGTTAAATCTTGTTAGCAATCAGCATTCACCTAGAGTCAATTGGACGATATATTTTCTCCAAGCTGAAGTGGAGAGAGACCAGCCTGGTAATAGTTAATACATCATTGCAGCCAGATAGGGGGGGATTCCCTATGGAATAGCACATTGTGGCATACGTAAAAAGTAGTTCATTCCACACTTAGCACACGGCAACGCTGGGGAGATGTTTTTTGTTAGGTTTAATGGAAATTTCTAATGGGCCCTTTCAAATCTGTCGAAATGAAATAATGGCACGAACCACCAATTCGTGCAGACAGAAATAGCTTCATAGTTTCATAATTTGGTCGCCCCCCCCCACCAGCCCCAATATAAAGAGACATAGAGTTTTCAAACCACAGCCTGACTCTCCTCAACCTGTCCCACTCCCTTGACAAAAAAACACACACACACATGCACTGCACCTAATACCTAATGGGGTAGTGTTTGCTCCGCTGCGCAGAAAAATTGTACAAACGGAGCAGACAAGCAGGACTCATCAGACAGACGTGAAGGTCACCTGCCTTCTCTGTTCTGAGAGGCCCACACAGTCCCACAATGGACACCACGGAGCAGCAGATGCACGCGTTCCAGTCTGTCCACCACACGTCAAGAGACTACTCTGTACGACAAAATACAGTCGTCCAGAATGTTTAACGCGACAGGACTGTGATGCACGCTCAGATCATTGACCATTTTTTCTTTTTTGAAGCTAACATGAGATAGGTGCGGAAAATGTCCCGACAGAGCAGCTGAAATCTCAGATGTTTGCATGTGCATGTGTGTATTTTGGCATGCCTCCTCATGCTGGCAGAGCCGCAGATCCCCAGCTTCCCAACATAAATCCCGAATCCATCCACCTCTTCTCCATGAAATATGTTGTCTAGCCTCCTGAATTTCAGCATGATAAATTTACACCGCCACTCAAACACGAAAAAGAAAATGCATATTTAAAACAGTTCTCCATAAATGACCTCATGCTGTCCTTGTCTTGGGTGAAGGAGTGAATATATACGGCTCTCCAAATTTTTACCGTGTACTTTTCCGCATAAAGGAAATATTATTGTTGAGCTTGGGGTTAAGCTTGTAGCAGGGAACACAGCGTAAATCACGGTGCTGAACACACAGTCGAACATGGAAGCACAGAAGGACAGAGGCAAGGAGCCATGCATGAAATTAGTTCATTAATCTTTCTATGATAGGCTGTCCTTGTTTGGGGCAAACTCTATCAGCTTTAAACGGAGTGCCCCTTCCCGCCTGACACATAGATTACACTGTTAGTCAGTGGCCGCGGTGTCTGGGAAATGAATGGTCATGCGAGTGGGAAAATGGGGGTAGCGTGTGTCTCCAAGTGTTAAGTGGTAACAACAACATGCGGGTGACACAAATGAAGGTCATCAAAAATGTGTGTGTTCTTAAATTTCGCTGCTGCGAATATCGCTTTTTTCCCCTCATATATTTATAATGAATACACATTTAAAAGAGCTATCCCTGTAATGTGCTGATTTGATAGAAGCAAACACATGAAAGAGGATTTCTAATAATCTAATAATCATCTGCTACAACGTTGCAGATTCAGTCAAGGAAACGCAAACCTACAGTTAAATGTGACAACAACAAAAAAATCTACCAACTGAACAGAAGTATTTATTGTATTTGCCTTTAAAGGGTGAAGGTTTCTTCTTTTCGGAGCATCTTATTCCTGAAGTCGTTCGGATTTTCTTGCATTGTTGTGTGACTGATTTATCTATTCCCTCTTTTTCGGATACATTTGAGCTTATGTTTAGTGTACTTGCATGTGTATTTAATATGTGTTTATGCTAATGTTCGACTATGTGCATTCCACACACAGACTTGTACATAATACTGAGTGATTCTGGTTTAAAATGGATCAGATTGTATTCCTTTGCAACTGCTTTAAAACCACAGTTTAAAGCTTGATGATAAGTTTGTGGAACCAAGCATATCCTTTACTTGTGCTGCAAAGCTGGAAAGTCATTCTGTAAGTTATTTTGCTCTGACACCTTCATTTTTAAAAATATTTGTTTTAATGTTGTTTTATCTCAGGTAGTAAGTCCCAGCACTAGTTTTGCATCACATAGATATACTTTGTTTCTTCTTCTCTATCTCTCTAACACACACGCATACACTCACACACATGCACATACCATACAGAGAATTTCCAGCATATGGCCTCTTCAATGTCACTGCCACGAGGAGAGACTGCATAGATTTCCCACATGGATGATGTCTCCTTACCTGGAGTATCAACCCCCATCTACATACACATCCAGCACCTCTAGGAAATTGCTCTCTCTGCAAAGTCAAACACACCCCTAACTGCCTTTTAAAAAGAGACAGAAGAAGGAGGTTACGGGGGGAGAAAGAATAAACGAGCAGAGACTTAAGCCGTCATTGGGAATCAGAGAAGGACTCATGAGGGACAGTTACGATATTGATTTCATAAATAAACAGAGATGGCCATCGATCCTAATGTTATTTTGCATTTCAATTACTGCCCAGAAACATAACCTTCAAACGTCTGCTTCTCCACAGTAATAACATCCACTGATAATCACAAGCGAGTCTTGTTCGGCACAAATTGGCTTTTCTCTCACCCCTCCTACCCCTTCCACCCCCCACACCCCCTTTTTTTCTCCCCCAAATGTGTAAATGACACAACTTTGCATTTGCCTAATGGTATTAGAGCATGGACTGAATTTCAAGTGAGACTCAAGCTGATACAGTAAGCGCTCCGGTCAATTGACACAATGCAAATTAACGTGGTGAAGAGGAATTAAGTTCACAATGTGAGACCTCGTGAAGCTACGATGAGGCCCATTAAATTAAACATGCCGGCTGACCCGCACTCCATGATTAGACGCACACTGCTTCTTTCCTTGTGTGTGTGCGTGTGTGTGTGTTAATTTCATTTGATCAATAAAACAAACTCCTTCTAAGAAGTCCTCTCACTGCTGCTTACACTCAGCCTGAGCACTTGAAAGGCACATTCATGTTTGATTGAACAGCAGGTGAAGAAAAAAAAGGTGTCCATCTCCAGCCTGATGAACTCAGTCTTAACAGGCCACCTAAAGGATATATCTATAACAAGAGGGGCGGTCATGACATGTGATGAAGCTATTTCTCCCCTCATGCCATCACACAGAACCAACAAAGCTCGGCTCGTAAGGAGTAGCCACAGCTAACAGTGAACGCGACAGTCATGAGAAAACACAGCAGCGACTTCACACGTTCAGAGCTGTTTTTATCTCGGCCAGTTTTTGTCAGCTTTATGAAAACTCAAAGCTGGTGGTGAAGTTGGAAGGAAGCAGATTGTTTTCCCCCCCTCACCACAGTTTCAACACAACGCAGCACTTTCCCACCACCTGCTCCCTCCATCCGTCAGTGGATTCTTTTGGCTTTCCAGTCAGTTCTGCTGGTCAGATCAGCCAACTATCAAACAAAGTTGGTAGAGATCACAGCCCTTGTGTAAGGTTTGGATCCTTTTCAAGCAGTCTGACACAAACCAAACGGTGACTGGTGAAGTGCGAAAAGGTGGCCGGGAGCTGTGAGTACACATAAAGTGAAATATTCAAACTCGAACCTTGGACAGCACACGAAAGAAGCAATGAGTGCAAGATCGATCACGAATGGATGGAAATAAATCCGCCACTACATGTTCTATGTTGCAAAAAACACTGATTGCAGATAGTGAACTGCACTCACTGCAAATTTGTAATGCTTGAATTCCCCTAAACAACTGGCAACTCCAGGTACTATTTTCCTTATGTTCAGGGTTTTAAATACTCCGTTGCAATCAAATTAATTTTACCTCAAGCATCCGAACGTGACACCAAGTGTTAAAAAAAAAGAAAAAAAAAAGAATAAATTGCGGGTGCATCTTAATCACAGCAAGACCCGTGTGTTAAGCGTAACAAATTACAGATGCAATGTATGATAAGATGATGTGCTCCTCTTTAACAGACACAGTCAGGTGTTTCTATGTATCGGACGGCTAAAATTAGATCCCAGGTCAGTGTGTGATTCTTTGGTCTACATGTGTGTGCATATGTCTGTCTATCTGTGTCTGCATACATTTGGTCGCTTATGCATTCCTGTTTGTTTACTTGGGGAGGACACCTGTGGGAATAGCAGGTAAAACAAGTTGAAAAAAAATTTAAGCAAGCAGTATATTTAATCTTCATGTGACGCCTTTGTCAGTTAATAATAAGTTAATTAATAAGTATTAGAATTTCTATAATTAAAAAAAAATGCAGTTATTGTAAAAGAAGAATAAAGCAATATGTGTAAAAAAACGTGTCTAATGCGACTCTTAATTCAAAACTGCCTCCATTAATTTTAAAGCAGATGGTTCTGACTGACAAGAAATAGTGGAGAGCACCTGTGGAGGCTGATGCAAATAGTAGGTCATATGCAATTATGTACAGCTGCATTTTATTGTGATTTTGGTCCACAACACGCAAACACGATCCCGACGTGCACATTTTCATAAAGAATAAATCACTAGATGTAACTAATATTTTGGTCTCTTGACAAAGCAGGTATTTGCTTTAGCATCAGAAATGTGGTTTGACAGCTGGGCACTAAAATCCTTTGACCTTTCACCTCGGGCCAGTATGATAGTTGTAAGGCAAAAGTCTCCAAGGGTTTGAAAGCAGAGGCAAACCTAACTAATCACAGATATATGTGACACTGAGCACACAGATTTTCAGCGTGCGACTTCTCGATGTGGGAAAATGTAGGACAACATGGTTAATGCAACTTTAACGCTTACAAATACATTTTTAAATAAAAAAATTCTAAGTGTAGAATCGTTCATCTCAAGCAGAACCAGTAAAAATATGTAGAGTTGTGGTGTTAGTGTAGTGCTGGCCTATCAAATATGACCTAACAAGTATTTAAGGATGCAGGTATAGCATGCATAACCAGCTACTCACTTGTCAGCACACGCATGCATATTTTTTTATCTGCATACATAAATGCAGACACACACACACACACATAGATGGACACAGACACAGTCTGGGGTCACGATGGGTTAATAGCATCATATCGTAGGATTTGTCATTTTTAATCATTTCTATTTGGCATAGTTTTTTTTTTCTTTAAAGATGTAATTAAAACTTCAGAGTTTTCATTTGAAGGTTTTTTGAGTGTAAAAATGAAAGCCTTGCGATTGTGTGTTTTAAAACCACCACAAATTAACTGTGATATTAAAAGTTAGAGCCTTCAGAGACGATGCTTGAAACAGATGTATTTAATTGAGATCTGTTACTTTTATGTAAAATATCAAAACAACTGACAAAACTGTGGTTGAAGTTTCCAGCCTGGAAATGATTTACATCCTTTTTCAAAAGGAATTTTATGTGATTCATTTGATTACAGTGAATAAATCAAATTTATGTACATCCTTCAAGGTGTGCACGACACCTTTGACTGAAGTGTTGAAGCGCTTTGAATCATCGTCATCATGAGCAGCAGCAGCAGTGTATACATTTTATTTCGTGATCAATAGAACTACATACACTTAACACCAAAATGAGCTTTTTTTGATGCATGTGCAAAGTGCATTAAAACGACACATACTTCTACTGAGCGAACAGCTTCTAACCAAAGCTGCTTTGTCGTTTCACTTGCTCAACCAATACAAACCGATAGGATCTCATTTGTTTTGATTATGTGCAGTGGCAGCTCTGATGCAGTTAGAATAAACACTTGTTTAACACTTCAGGAGATGCTCCCCCTTTTTTTTTCTTTTGTGGAGCCTTGCAGAGTTGGAAATATCCTTAATCGCAGTCCTGTAAAAAGTGCTTAGCAGATTAAACCTTTCCAATCCCATCTACAGATTAACATTAAGAGGATCCCAGTGAATCTTTCCAGGTATCCAAGAACTGTAACAATGATAAAGACTGGAGCTCCAAATGAGATTTGAGAGTTTCTTTAACTTCTCATTTGTTAGGGAAAAAAGCTGCTTGATCCCTGCCTTTGAGCTAAGAAAATGCACAATAACCATATGCATGCGCAAGAAAAAAAAAAGTTTTAAAGTGCACATTTTGTTGTTCGTATTAACTGCATTTTACTCACATACTGTGCCACATTTGGAGGTGACCAAACTTACTAAACTCTCAGTGTTATTTAATCATAACCACCAATTTTATATAAAAACTATAAATGACAATAAAATGAGATGAGCTGTATCAGTAACACAGACAGACATGTATCTACTTCTTCAGTTACACACTTTTCTGTGTCACGCTTACACAGTACAGTCACAACTAACTTTCCCCGGGACACCGGCTGGTGCTGGAGGACAGTGCACGGGATACCGGCTGCATTAATCTGCCTGTGACTCTCTCCTACGAGCTGAGTTTAAACCCTGCAGAAGCTAGAGAGCTGTACAGAGACCAGCTCCCCGGTCTCCCTGCAGGCTACGCCACAGCAGCCACCGCTCAGCTCTGATGTCCTGTACATGAACAAGAGCAACTCCCTGTCTTTGGAAATAGTTTCGTTTGCTTTTTTTAAGAAACAAATTATAACATTTTTAAACAATTTTTATCAACTTAGAGAGAGACAGAAAAGTTTAGATGAGCTAACCAAGAAGGGAAAAAAGGGATTTGTATAAAGAAGCACCTACTGGTTGTGGTAGCAGAGAGGGTCAGGGATACACAGTTCGGAAACATCCATCAGTCCTTGTTAAGCATTCCAGATGTTGCAATTTTAAAAAAAATTCAAAAACAACAACAGATAAACAGCTGGGGAAAAGCTGAAGCAGGAGATCAGTTCCTAAATCTCCTCATATTCTCAATAAATATTGGTCAGGTGGTCCCGGGTGCTGCTTCCCCTCCCTCCTGTGTTCAACCTGCACACTTAAAATAAAAATAAAAAGAGAAGAAGAAGAAAAAAAGAAAAACCTTCTGCCTCGGCCCAACAAACTCCAGTCTGCACAGGTGCCGCACGCTCGGGCTCAGGAGTACGGCCGGTGAGAAGAAAAGTGGTGGTCCGAGAAAGAGGAGAGAGGAAAAAACAAAAAAAGAACCTCAGGAAGAGATGAAGAGAGGAAACGGTGAGCAACGAGAGGAGGTAGAACACAGATGATGGGATTGGTGGACAGAGAAAGAGAATAAAAGATAAGAGGGATGGATGGAGAGCAGCAGCAGTGAGAGCGCACTCAGGCTGAGTAAGTCGGCGAGGGGGGATTGAGTCTCCATTGAAGACAAGGGGGCTCTTTAAGAACAGGAGGGAGTGGTTTAGGTGCATATGGAGCGACCACTATTGGCTGGATTCAGGAAGGTTGTCCTGCCAGCAGCCAATGGTGATGAAAGATTACTGAGATGAGACGGGCTAATGGGCCACTAGTCGGCCTCCATTCACAAGGGAGCGCTGCAAAACAGAGAAAGAAAGAAAGAAATGATAGATAGATAGATAGATAGATATTCAAAGTAATGAGGTAAACAAAAGTGGACAGCAGTAACTGACAAGAAACAGAAGTAGAGGCACGTTCGCTGAGGGTGATTTGAACAGGTCTGTTTACGGTGCTTTAAAGGGCTCAGTGCCAGATTATGGAGCTAAACGGTTCCCTTTAGTCTTTTATCCTCTCCACCATGGATCTGGCTTTCCACAGCCTGCCCTCCTTTAAAGTAATGACAGCTGCTTCCCACAACATTCCACCAGTCACGCTGTGAAGAGAGGGGATCTACCCGTCCTTAGCGAGGCAGGATGTAGGAAAACTGAGAGTGATAATGACCTCGGCAGGAATGATAATAATGATGACGACGACAGAGAAGTTTGAGTGGATCTTTACCACGTACGTGAAATGTGGCAGCCCATCGGAGGAAACCCAAAGCCCCGCCACCCACCCCTCCAGCCCACTTCATCAACCCACATTTTCCCGATCGATGCAAAACCCATCACACGCTTCTATTGATCACAGCGTTGCCGTGTCGCCACAAGCCTCAGGACAGACTCCCGTTTCCCAACCATCTTTTAAATGAAAAGGAATTATACATTTGAATGTTTTCTTTTCATGTCAGTCCATATCAGAGTCACAGGAGCAAAAGGCTGATTGCTTTATTAAAGCAGCTGTGCATTCTCCATTTCATTTTTGATCAATATTTTAGCATTTAATGTACTTTCCTGCGAAGGAAAATCCAGCTATTCCCGCTGATCCGATTAAGACATCCAGACATAATCAATAGGGGGGATATGTTTATGTTTTTAATGAGACCGAGAAGATGAGAACTGATGTTCAGATGACATGTATGATTTCACATGCAGAAAATAGAGCCAGTGCCAGTCAAACCAAAAAAAAAGTGGTCTTTTGGTATTTTTAAGACTGAATAACTTTATGCAAAATATAAAGTGTATGTCAGACTACCTTAAAATAAAACACATTTTTATTTGGCAATGCTTAATTCAAGGCTAAATTCCACATTTCTTGCATTTTCCCGCTCCACTCTTGTGTTGCCAGCTTTCTGAGGTGGGTACATACTTGCGTCCAGACCTAATTTGTCTCCCTTCCTCTGCGCGGCCTGCTCACACAGAGTAGAGACACAGGGTTTTGTGGCATCTGACAGGAAATCTATTGAGCGCACAGTCTGTGTAATCCCACCATCACGTTATCTTCAGAAGAAGAAACCGTAATCCAATCATTAAATCTGTATTTAAGCAAAAACAGATTTTCGGCTCTATGACCGTGACTGTGTCTCTTTAAGGAGATCAGTGCAGACCAGCCTCGCACCACCCTGCATTTTCAGGCAGCAGTTTAGGCTCTCATTATAGTTTTGCTCTCATTTGCCGTTTTACATTCTCAGCACTGTAAACTCCCAGCACGGCTGTAATTTAGAGAAGAACAGCTGAGTAGGAAAGGGAATCGGGGTTTATTTTTGGAGTGAAATCTGGACTAGTGTAAACAGTGAGTGTTAATGAATGAAAACAAAGATGAGAAGGATTGTGAGAAAAAAATTTCTGTAGAGGACCAGAAATTTGCAGATTTCTCAAAAGTGCAAAAAAGGACAAAATTGTTACGTGTCAATAAGTAGTAATGACATATTGTAGTGGGCTGAGGGACACGGTCTTCCTGTCACGCTGCTTGTATGTAATTAAATTCTTGATTCACGAGCAAACTGCCTGTTATGGCTGACCTTCTGACCTCGCCATGAAGAAAGTGTATCAGCAGGAGGAAGTTCACTCTGTACGCCTTCCTAAATGTTCTGGGCATTCAATTCAGTCTCCAGAAGCTGGTACAGATGAAACCGTTTCTTGTTGGTTCATTTATGCAGGGAACACGAGACAATACCTTCAGTTCTTGGAGCCGGTGTTTTTAGTTTCACTTCGGCCACACACCACTCGATCAGCGGCCACTTTGATGAACTCAGCGCGTTGCCTGAAATCATCAGTTGCTTTAATCAAATTACTGACATAATGAGCAATCAGTGACACGGAAAATAATCAAGGTGCATGAAGGTAGAACCAAAAAACTTGTGGTTTTCTTTTAAAATATAGAATTGTTATTATATTTATTTTTGCCATTACATTTGAGATTTGTGCATTTTAATGCGTTTGATTGTTGTCATCAAGCACTTTGTGATTCTTAACAGGAATAGTGCAATATATATACATATGACTTTTTGATCACGTTGCAAAGCTGCTTTATCAGTGTACTAGCATTTCATATAAATCTGATAAAATAAAAATTCAGTGTTGCATTTAAGTGCATATCATTATTTGATTCACTTTATACTAGTTAAAAGTTTGTTGTATGTTGCTGTCTGAAAACACACATACTGTTATCTCTTTCGTCTACATGCAATAAATCGATACATTTATTTTCATCTATTTAAACCCACGAGGAATTTGTAACTCACTCCAGACAGACATTAAACTGCTGACATTAAACTTCTGCAAGTGCAAAACCTTCAACTCCGCCGCCACAGCAAAACCGAAACAACAAACCCCGTGTCAACATTCGACTTCTTACACAAAGCTCACGAAACAGACACTGAGTCCCACAAATCCATCATTTGCACATTTTCCTTTCGCTGCCGCGTACTTGTTTGGCTCGTCTGCCGGAGGAGTGTGGAGAGGGATAATTACTATAGCCACAGGGCTGCATTAATCAGCTGGGTGCATTTGTTGGGCTTTATTATGTTCCACTCCCCTCTCTGGGCTGCGCCGACTGAACCACCAGGACGAGACAGGGCTGGTGGAGGACCGCTGTCGCCCCGCTGCCCGCTCACGCTGGGTTAATAAATGCTATTAGCCTCTATCTCTTGCCTCTTAATTTCTCATTTTACTGAGGGCAGTTAAAATAAAACTACGTGAGCGCTTGTGTAAATGAGAGACTTGTTGCAGGGCTCCGATATCGTTGACTGCGAGAGCCGGACTCCCACAATGTGACTGGATTCACTTTTCTTCTGCTGGTTCGTGCTGTTAAAAATGTCCATGCAGTCAATTCAAGATTGATCATTTACTATTGTGGGATATTGATGTGACATCACTGATAGTAAGCAACAGGCTGAGTGTGACCAAATGTGAGCATACAGCTTCTCCAAAAACATCTTTTAAGGTCCTGCGGGAGTTTATATTGTGAGCAAATGTATTATAAATATGTAAGGCTGAGAGGGATGACACCCAAATTAGCTAAGCAGCCTCCATCAGACCTTTGACTAAGTATTCAGTACAGAGTCTGCATCATAATTAGAGAAATCCGCTGTTATGAACTCTTAAATCACTGCCTTGTTGGTGCTGTTACGTATTGTGCTCTTTGTTAAATGTTTTCACTCATCAGAAGTCACTTTGGTTAAAGGCAATCACCAAATGGCATATATTAACTTAAGGACATTTCTCCAACCTGCGCTGCATCTTTGAAAGCCGCGATTGTGATTCCAGCGACAGCAAACGGTCTCCGCTGTGTTTAATCACATCACATATAAACAAAATCAATTTTACCCCCCACGCTCTAATTTTAAACGACTCCTTGACACCGCTCGAATCCTCTGCGACTCGCCCACGTCAACTGCATAACACAAGAGGGTCTGGGATGGAGTCACCTTTGAAGCAAAGCCAGGTTGTGTCATTGTCGGATCAATACATTCATCTCAAGTTCATTCCAATATGGAAGCTGGCAAAAAGGGGAGCCTGGTGCCGTCAGCTTTTTAAAGCCTTACGATGCTTGCGCGCATGTCCGTGTCTAGACCCTGCCGATAAAAACGGCTAGCCCAAAGAGAAGTGGGTAACACAACTGATTGGACAAAAATAAAACACACAGGAATGCATACGAGCATCTAGATCTTCATGATAGCAAATGTGCACATTAGCCAGCCTCACCGAAAGTGTCTGAAAGAAGAAAAATATAGCACGTTCTCAAATTCATGTCACAGAGCTGCCATTTGGGCTCATACCGACTTCAACGTCTCAGAACACCCACAGGGCACTAGTGACTCTTCAATTACGAGCTTCCCTCTGAGGAACGGTTAACTTAAGTGCGAAACTTTCTGTTTTAAATGAGCGCGTTTGATAGGGAAATTATCCTCTTCGTTCGTCCCAAACCCACAAGGAAAGAAGCTCTTTGTGTGAATGAATTACCTCCATGGGTGAAAGAATTATCAAAACGGTTAAGCGGAGATTTGGTGGCGTAGCCCGTAAAAGAAGCTCTCTAAATATTAGTTTAGCTGCCGAGAAATCATCAAGTTAAAATAAATAAATAAATAAATAAAAGCAAACATTTATGCAAAGCAGCCTCATTGGCAGCAAATCTCATTTCGGAGAGAGAGGCTTGGTATTCCAGGCTCGGCTCCCCCAAGATCCAGGGATGACTTTCATTTAGTCTCACCTCTCCCTCCAACTGGGGTCACCCCTGTTGGTATAGCAAGCACAGCAGTCACATTGCTCCGCCATGCACACAGATTGCTTACTAGACCCGCCTGGAACCTTTCATATTTCCCAGTCAGCATTTTTACAGGATAATTTTGGCAGCCTTTAAGGATATCGCTGCCTTAATAGAGGATAAAAATAAACGGGTGGTGGAAGGGCTATATCAGGCCGGTATAATCTTGTATTCTACACTGTGTGGAGTTAAACGTCTGGCTTTGGCTCCATTCAATGAGATTAAACTTCTCCCCAGCTGATTCCAAAAGACCATTTGTCCTATTTTTAAAACTATAAAGAGCATT